ATCCCTGGAGACCGACCATCAGTCACTCTGACTTCCAGAAACTTCTACACAATTTGACGGCTGTCAAGATCCGAGGCACCTACAGTGAACGGAGTACGCACAACGCAACGCACAACGCAACGCACAACGCAACGCACAACGCAACGCACAACGCAACAACAACAACAACAACAACAACAACATGCGGTTAATTGTTTATGATCCTGTATCTGCAGGTGCTGGTTACCTCGATGACGTCTCCTTGGTAACAGCGAGGCGGGGCCCAGGTGTGCCGGCCCGCTGGGTCGAGCAGTGCACCTGTCCTCAGGGTTACCAGGGTCAACACTGTGAGCAGTGCACTCTGGGATACCGCCGCGCCCGCCCAGAGCTTGGCGCCTTCAGCTCCTGTGAACCCTGCAACTGTAACGGACACAGTGACGCCTGCGACCCAGCCACAGGTAATATGGGTTCACCTGGCTGACCTGGTTTTCCTCGTTAACCTGGTGTAACTCGTTTTGTTTGTCCATTTGTCAGGAGCGTGCGACTGTCTGCACAACACGGCCGGTTTGAGCTGTGAGCGCTGCAAAGACGGCTTCTATGGCGACGCCACCAAGGGAACGTCTGACGACTGTCAGCTGTGTCCCTGCCCCGCCGGAGCCACCTGCGCCGTTGTTCCCAAAACCAGAGAGGTCGTCTGCACCAACTGTCCCGCCGGGACCACAGGTGATCACACTGCACCTGCACAGACTCAGATTACGTCCAGATTAAGACACGCTGTCCTCACGTGTCCTCGTCTTTTGGCGTCACCTGTCTGCAGGTAAGCGCTGCGAGCTCTGCGACGACGGTTTCTTCGGAGACCCTCTGGGCCAGAACGGCCCGGTTCGAGCCTGCCGAGCCTGCAAGTGCAGCGACAACATCGACCCCAACGCCGTCGGCAACTGCAACCGTGAAACCGGCGAATGCCTGAAGTGCATCTACAACACTGATGGCTTCTTCTGCGACCGCTGCAAGGAGGGTTTCTATGGCAAAGCCACCAACCCCACGGACAAGTGCAAACGTAAGAGGAAGTCATGCTTCTAGTTGTTGAGTGTCTCTGGTGATGACGATTTTTAAAGAAGCAGATTTAATCTCAGATTATTTGTCGTTGCCGTCCCACGACTGATGGACTGACCTGGTTACCCATAGCAACAGGGTGCAGCGTCAGCCATAGAGAAATGAAAGTGATGACGAGAGGAGGTGGATGAATGTGATCATTAAGGGATTCAAACAAGTTTTTGAACGTTGGATGTTCAACGATCAGAATCCTGATCAGGTTATCGATTATCAGTCGACTGTTCGTCAGTCAGCTGCCAAGTTTCCAGCTCAGTGTTCGTGTGTGTGTTGTTTTCAGCCTGCTCCTGTTCTCCGTACGGGACGGTGGGTCGACAGACCAGCTGCTCTCAGGTCACCGGTCAATGCCCGTGTCTCCCCAACGTCGCCGAGCGCGACTGCAGCGCCTGCGAGCCCGGCTTCTTCAACCTGCAGAGCTCCAACGGCTGCGAGCGGTCAGACCACGCACACAAATCAAGATTATTTTTGATATTTCAAGATGCTTATTTTTCTCCCTCAGTGTTTCTGAGTGTTTTAATTTTCTGTCTCCGCAGGTGTAACTGTAACCCGATTGGCTCCACCAACGGTCAGTGTGACATCACTACAGGCCAGTGCGAGTGTCAGCCCGGCATCACAGGGCTGCACTGCGAACGCTGCGAGGTCAACTTCTTCGGCTTCAGCTCGTCCGGCTGCAAACGTAAGGATGTTGTTCTGCTGGTGTGACTTTAGTCTCATGTATTTTACAATTTGGTTCCTGGATTCTCTCGTGTGGATGAATATGATCCAGTCGTGTCTGACGTCTCTGTGTGTGTGTGACCTGCAGCATGTGACTGCGACCCTGAGGGCTCTCAGTCGGGTCAGTGTAAAGACGACGGACGCTGCGAGTGTCGTCCGGGCTTCGTCGGAGCTCGATGTGACATGTGTGAGGAGAATTACTTCTACAACCGCACGGTGCCGGGCTGCCAGCAGTGTCCTTCCTGCTACAGTCTGGTCAGAGACAAGGTGAGGACGCTGCACGTACGGCCACAATTCACAGTCAGAGCACCTGTGTGTGTGTGTGTGTGTGTGTGTGTGTGTGTGTGTGTGTGTGTGTGTGTGTGTGTGTGTGTGTGTGTGTGTGTGTGTGTGTGTGTGTTAACTT